AGCACGTATAGAAAATATCACAGTACTTCAAAGTACTTCTGTTGTCCTGCAGGAGCAGGCAGCAGCAGAGCAGCAGAAATGATGGTGGCAGCCTGTCTGTGGCGGATTGATTCGCTCTGCGCAGGTCAACCCCCAGTACCACCGCCAGTAGTGCCGCTTCAATATGCATCATGCACCTACCTGCACGCCAGCAGCGGTCGTACCGCATACCGCTCGACAGACGGGGGGGGGTCGACGTGGTACACAGAAGAACAACTTTGCAAGGTTTTCTGGGTGTCCTTCTATTGCTACAGCTGTTGAAACGGCCCTGACAGCGGTGATGATGGTGAAAGGTCGAAGAGTTCAGCAGTAGTTTGTGTCGCACCGTAACCCGGTGGTGTTGTGTTGTGTTACGGCTTGGGTTCCAGTGCTTTGTGGTCTCACGGATTGGAGGTTTTTTCGCGACACAGCAGCAGCTACTACTTGTGCATAGTCTAGGTTTCTGCTCTTTTCCGTTGAGCAGCAGACCACCACCGCACTTCAGAAATATTTCGTTGAGCAACAGAGGCTTCACAGCAGTAGATGTTCAAGAAACAAGTACCATAGGAAAATACTAAAGGGTGAAGGAAAGGTACATTACCATCCTGTGCTCGACACGGCGACGAAATTAGTATACTGAGCCTCGACCCAATTTTGATCTTTCACTTCTCCGGGCCCGGCTGTTGTAGTAGTACGACATCCGTCCACAATCAGTAGTTTTGTATCCGACCCGTGGAAGAGCGGCGTCGGTTTTATAGTCAGGTTTCGGGAGGTTGTCACCTGATTCACTCAACCTCCGGGAGTGTTCGTGATGAGTAGGCACATTTGCTGCGTACTTATTTCATAATGATATATATAGTGATCACCTCATGCTTTGTGGCTTGTTCACGGAAGAAAATTGCACGTGCGTGTTAGTCACTGATATTGTCAGAGGAGTAAAGTGATAACCAACAATCAAGATGACTATGCATACAATATGATACTCAACATTGATTGGTGACGAGCAATTCCATATCGGAATCCGACACCGATACTTGCTGTACATGGTAAATTTGTTGGTGCGGATCTTGTTCACATGGCTGAACTGAATGCGCGATGATGGTTGGTTTTGGATCCAAGCCCCATGGTTGATGTCATTCCCGCACATACATGCTGGTTTGAGAGATCAGACGATCAGACAGCAGTCGTCGTAGCCTAAGGTTTTTTGTGGGCAGACATTACTTGCGGGAGAATAAATGACCGGTGCGGCTATTTAGCGGTGAAATCCAAGCCCGGTCTCTGTACTCTCCACTTGAAGCGCCAGAAACGGTACATGGCGGTGGTCTTGGCCAATCAGCGTGGGGCCTCGGGGTAAAAGCCGAGTCTTATACCACACAACCTCGGTTGTCTGTTGTATTTCCAAATGAGAGGGAGACACTCGGTCAGCAGATCAGAATGAGACACTCTGTCAGCAGCGAATCTGATGAAACATGGGCACATTTATTATTTGAGGAGCTCAAGTTGGGGCAGTCTAAAGTCGCGAGGGTTTGTGTTCTTCGGCGATGGCCGCTTACTACACAAGTATACTCGAGACTAGAGGAAGCAGTAGATTCCCCATTCCATCCGTCATCGCCATTCCTGCAAGGCTTACTCGGCTCGACACATAGTGCATGCTGCTGTATCATGCGACTCGACTGGTATGTTCTGTATTTAAACGAGCGTTGACAAAAACTAAAAATGCTGCGTTGGTTGTGCAATCGCCACACAATATAATCTCAACCAACACAATCTTGACGCGTGCCCATTCACTCTTCTTGGCGCTCGCAGGTGCCACTCCTGCTCAAGGTCAAATCAATGATGATTCGCTTCAGCTCTTCCGTGGGGCTGGGCCTGATGCTGGCGGCTACCCGCTCCGCACCGTAAGTGGATATTCCGTTTGACGAAAGTATTGTTTTACTGCGTTGGGGGTTTTGACAGTATGGCCCGACCATGGCCCAGGGCCATGACCTAACCCAATAACGCCACCCGCCGCTGCGTTGAATGTTAGAGTTGACATTGAGGGCGCCTGGCGTTGGTTGTTTATAGCACATTCGCCCAAACTTTCTCCTGCCCCCCCGCCCCCATTATCTACCGTGACGCATGCCACGTACCTGCTGTGGCATGCATGATGAAACGGATGGGTTATTGCTCGTCTCTCTCGGCCACCACCATTCTTCTTCTGCGCAAGTGCCACTGCCCAGCCATGCGCGGTCGACTCCAAGGTAAGGTTTAAGATATGCATATTTCTTTTCGTGTCGTTGGTTATCTTTCTTCGTAGCTTTGGTTATCTTTCTTCGCAACTTTGGTTGTAAGGGTCTCACTCACTTGGCGAAAGTTAAAAAAATGTGCACCCAGCCGACCGTGATCCGGCGTTTTTCAACAACACGAGGACACGAGGTAGCTCGTCGACAAGACAAGACGCCGAGTCGAGACTGTGGAATTTTCTTCGCGTTGGTACTGCAGTGACAGCAGTGCAGAGTTATCCTTTAAGAAACATGACTGAACATACAGGATCATCGATAAGATATTTGATGATCGTTTTGTACGTGTTTTCACCATTCCTTTCGAAGGTGCGCGACATTCATCTTCGTAGGAAAGACATTTTGTGGACGAGCTGACCGTATCCACACACTCAAACACTTATCACGCTGATGACTTCCATGTAACAACCGAGGTGGATTGCGTATGCCATGACCAACTCTGCCGCTATCGCAGGGAAACTGCAAGCCGATCAACATCGTCTGCGATGCATTGGAAGACTACCAGATACACTGGGATTGCGTTTTCGGGCCTGAATCCTTGGAGGAAGTGTTTCAGAGGGGGGGTGACTTCACGACCTGCCCTGGAGCTACCAAAGAGCACCCGTGCTCCAGGTAAGGGGTCGTTGTCGGGGGGGGTTCATGCAAAGCACAACGTTTTCCGCTTCCTGTTTTCGTTGCGATATCCCTGCGGTCAGCACTGAGATAAAGTGTAGGACTTCTGGACATGCAACGATGGTGCCGTTGCGTTCAGGTTTCAAGGCGATTTCTTGAGATAATTTTTATGCGAACTCTGAACGGGGCGCCCCCCCCCCCCCCCCCCAAACCCCCCC